GAAGAAACAAATTATGAAACTTTATTTCTCCCAGTAATGTTTTCAGTGTGTTTATAAAACAGCTATAAATAGGAAATTGGCACCGTTTTATAAAACATTATAGTCTTCATTGATACTTTGTAAGGGCCTTTTACAAACACTACAAAGCAGTTTTATAAACATTTCGGCAGTTACTATTAAAATTTTCTAACACTCTTCATAAGTAGTTTCGTAAAGAAATAAAATAATTGAAATATAACTGTATCATAGTTTTTTAGTAATTTCAAGTAAGCGTTATGAAATATAATGCAGCCTTTCGATAACGATAAAATAAAAAAGTGTTCAAAATGTTTCCTCAAAGGCACAAGAAATCATTTCGTATTGGACATTAGGAAAATATAATATATATGTCACTAACTATAAATGAATGAGTTTCGGCCCGGTCTGTGTTATAATAAGCTACACCTATAGGTTGCAATATGAAAACAATATTTATCTCAGTTTCCTCTGTTGAATGTGTTAATTAATGTTGATTGATTTCCCCCGTGATGTTACTAGTTATTAATTTGTAGACTCTTGAAGTTCACCGATCTATTAGTCGTTCCATTACCCAGGTTTCTGTAAGTGTACACTCATTTCTGTATAGGACACAGATATGCAATCGACTCAGACCAGTGAATATTACTGAAATGTTTTCCCAACACCAAATCGTTATTTTTAACACCTCGACACGTGTTTCGATCACCAAGTGATCATCTTCAAAGAGGAAGATTAAAACTGGATCGATTAGATCATGTTTTGAAATTTCCAAAAATCACCTATTTCCATTATTTTTCAGGTATTTTCTACTGGACGGAGCCAACTACAGCATACAAGTTACCGTACAGTTTTTGTGATGATACTTTCTGTTCTTCCTCTTCCCAAGATTCAATAACAGAAAATAATTGCATGATTTTCCACAATCGGACTCATACCAAAGTAGTATCTTGTAATCAATATTTCAACGCTGTTTGTGCTTACGAAGTGATTACAAACAAAAACAGTAGCTTTTGCTCCCAAAGTTATGCACCTGTATCAGTATGCAGGCAGAGTGATTATTCAACGAAATCAAAATGTTTTTGTATAGGAACTCCAGAAATGAATATGACAGAAAGGGCAGAGTTCTTGCAACCTTATCAAAACTTGATTTACGACTCTTTAGCCACTGACATTTGCTCCATAGGGTTGGAGAGAAGAGGAGATGATTACGTTTGGTCGGAGTCAAATTTGACCATTAATTATACCAATTGGGCTGTAGATACAGTCTTCGAACAGAACTATACCTTTGGGGGTATTTCTCCCAAAGGGTGGATCCTTACACAGTCTAGGGAAGAGCTAAATTGTACTCTGTATCAAAAAGATACAAGAGGGGCAAGTGGTGGACTAATACTAACATATGATAGGAATTCCACTTTATTTATATTATCATTGTACAATCCTACAAGCTGGGTTTACCAAAGTGAAACAGGACGTCCATTGATATTCTGTTTTTCTGATGCATCCACAGAGAAAATTTTTGAACGGATCGATGTTGGAAAGAACTATGACGAAAATTCAGCCACATTTTCTTTTACACCCCTTACTGATGCGCCGGGAAGTTATTGGTGTGAGGGATTTCTTTATCCTAACATGGAAGTGAAAAAAAGCAACAAGTATTTATTGAGGTAAGTGTAATTTGCATATATTCACCATCATTGATGCGCACCACTGACTGATAATGTTTAGACAATGGTGTGAAAAAATTAAAAATTCAAATGTTAACAAACTGTTGAAAATGTTATTTGTTGTTCTTTTCCATTTTTGCTGTCCAACTGTCTTTCAATCTTGATTTTTGTAGGTTTTTGATTCTCCTTATTTTTTATGTTATTGGAAGAGTTTAATTTCTATTGAAACAATGATTAAAGTAATTTTTGAATGGCTTTCCAAGTGGTATTGAATATGATAATGTAGTAATATAAACATATCAAAGCCCTATCAGGCTAGCAAGGCGATTTCAGCAAAATTGCAAAAAAATACATAAATTTGTAGCTGAATAGTTGCTAATTAGTTGCCAAAACAACGATTTTGTTGCTCGTGCCGATCCCTAGAAATCGCAAATAATGCTATCATGATATAAAGGTAGCAAGGTAACTTAATGAATTATATACTTTTCCTTTGATCTTTACAGAAGATTCAGTAACTATTTAGTTGCTTAACCTTGGATATAGCGAGAAAATCTTAAATATTTTTTTTTATTGTCATCTGACTATTTATAGGTCATTCGAGTGCTTTCACCTATTTCCTCTTCACTCTCTCCGCTTTATCGGTTTTAGCGGAAGCTAACATCTTGGCAAGAGTTGGTAGTGTTCCGCTTGATTAGAGGCTTCCATATGTTGCCTATCTCTACGCTAGCTTGGCTAAATGCGTTGTTGGACAACGTATATGTGGCTACTTTGAATTTTCTCCTAAACCAGTGTTCCTCCTTGTGGATGATTTTAGCTTGAGACCACTTGATGTTATGTTGATGAGTTCAGACATGCTCTCATATTCCTGAATTGCTGGTTTTATTTAATTTCAATTTGTCTTTTTTTGCTAAACATAATTGTTATATTTCAGCTGATCTTTTTTATACTTTACAGATTTTTTTCATGGATTTCAAATCAATTTATATCATAATAGACAATGGATGTCCGAACTAATGAAATGCACTTCAATTTGCGTTGCTTCGTCCAGTAATTTCGGCTGATCCCTTTTTTTATTTGTCACAGTACCAGTTCCTTTAAATTTTGCTTCTAGTTGGCGAATGTACATGTGACTTACATTTCTCTCCGGGTGCCTCTGGTTAAATACTTACTTTACTTATTTCAAACAAACACTGATCTTCTCTACAATAAATGAAAATCATTTCCACACGTTCAGCTGTGTTTTACACGATTGTTGCAAATAGAAACTCTGTTTCTCATATACAACAACGTATCGAAATAAAAATCAACTGTAATAATAATAAGAGTGTCGTTTCCCTTCCCAAAGTAAAAAAGCAATACAAAAATACCTCTCAAAAACGAATATTCCAAACACATTTTTGTTGTTACTTTCACTTATCCACTAAGTCAAATTTTTCCAGGTACGATTAAACAAATAGTAAAGGCGTGAGAGTTTTAATGTCGATACTAAGATGGTGAAACAACATCCTCTCCCCCTTTTGCAATTAGAAAAATAAATACAATGGAAAATCAAAATCATAAACTTCAATTGCAAAAAAAAAATATCTTCATCTCCTAGCTGACTGTATTCAAACCTTGCAGGTGGTTTGACGATTCTACCGCATCTCGTAACAATTTTCTTCATTCGTTAACAATTTTTTCAAAACTTCTTTTTCGGTTGATCTGTTCTCCAAAAAAACATATTGTGATTCAAAAAAAGTATGGTTATTATTGCAAAATGGTATAACTACTTTTGAAACACTTTTCTAATATGAAGAAAAGAGTATTGAAACTTTATATGTTTTTTACCACGAATAAAAGTGGTTGGTGATTAGGAATCACACGTTAAAAGGTAAGACCTCGTTAGTCCTTAGCTCGCACAAGTTTCTCAACATCTGAGAGTTGTCGCTCGTATGGGGGCGGCAGCTGATTAACGGAAAAACAGATTTTAAACAGATTTTAAACAGATTTTTCATAATGATTTTCCACCACGTAGTAACGGCTACATCCATCAATTTACTTTTTCAATATTTTGGTAAAGTTATCAATAAGGGTGAATGGTCGAAAGTTCGTTACTAATTTTTTATCACCAGACATTAAAATCGGTATTATGATTGAGTCTCAGGAAGATTCGAATATTATCAGAAAATGAAAAAAATATATATTGGTGTACGAACAAATCATGAAAAAACTGATATACTTTCATTGAAAAGGTAAGAAAGTCATACCAATAAGTGAGTTGAAACGAAACACGAACTCAATTTTTGGAAGTCTAATTTGATACCACTGCTTCAGCATTTTCTTTCATTTAGAAATTCACTGTGTTCATATAATCGTGAAATTATGTGACCGAGCATTCTGTCTAAGAAAGGCAGTTTTTCATAATGATCTTCATTTCCCAACTGACTTTCTGTTTTTTTTTAGGTTTGCCCCGTCATAACATATGAACAAACTCAGAACCCGTTCTGTACTTCTTCAGAAAGCCCATGTCTAAATAACACTATAGATCGTTCACAAAGAAGCAAAAGTGAAGAAACATGGAATAATACATCTGACTGTATGTCAATTCAGAAAACCATAGAAAATCCATGTCCTGAAGCTGCACTGCATCGCAACAACATGTGTATATTCATCATTGAAAATACAACATATCCTCCAAAATGTCCTTACGAAGAAACCGTTGGATTCAATAAATATGTCGAAGTAATTGACCCTAAATATTTTCCAATTTGGATGCCAGTTATTAGAGAGATTGGAGACTATGGCATTGGTAGGTACACATTTTTCACTACCTATATACCCATTGTATGGGCTATATAATATAAATAGCGAACCGTCCCGGCTCCGCAAGGGTTCAATGCTGGTACCGGCCACTTTTCTGTTCCAAAATAAAAAGATAACCATTCACAGATCTACAATAATACTTCATAATATTCGTTATATTTTATTTTTCCTAGAACAAGTGAAATGTTTTCATATTCTTTTCGCAGATTGGAATGAGAAAAAGGAGGCTAAGCTGTGACTCCAATCATTTTTGATGACTCTTTATGAACTTCCATACCTCACATTGAAACACATAACTCCTCTTGATTGAAAGGTTTCATCTCTATAAATGTTATTCCTCCGTAAACTCTTTAGAAACATACATTTGCTATTTATCTCGTCTTCTCTTGACTCGTCTCCACTCTCTCGTTTCGACAAGATTACCTTTTTTCACAAGAGAATAAGGCATACACGACAAGTTCAAATGTGATAGTAAGGCTTTGCACTCTGCTGCGTTGAATATGAGTTTCTATCCAAGAATATTCAAAGTTATTGCAGTAGATGAGGAACGTTCCAATATAACAATCAACTTTCATTTGACTACGCAAACTTCATCGATGTCATTGAAACACTACACTGTTTTGAGGAACTTAACTGAAAATATACTCGAAAATTTCTCTTTCGGAAACTTTCTAGTTGCGGACCAATGTCTTGGAGTTCAGACTATTCAAAATGATGGCGTAGTTGTAACGTGGCCTACGACGCAGATAAATCACGTTTCCCCACGACCTCGAGAGGGTTGGTGCCTTGACAATCAAGGTGCAATCATCAACAGATTATGTGAAGGTATTCGAATGCCAAGTATTCTCTTTTGTTTACATTTAGGAGATTGAACAACTGAAAGTTACAAACGAAGACAAGTAATTTCTTATAAGTCAAGTATAAAAAAATCAAAGAAATCATCATTATATACGAAAATCTGTATGCTTGAGAAAATTATTGATGGAAATGATATACAATGAATATCATTTTAACACCTCGACACGTGTTTCGGTCACCAAGTGATTATCTTCAAGAGGAAGATCTCACTTTAACACTTCGACACGTGTTTCGATCACCAAGTCATCATCTTCAAGAGAAAAATATCATGTTAACACATCGACACGTGTTTCGAAAACCAAGAGATCATCTTTAAAAGGAAGATGTTCCTCTTCCACCAAACCGTTATTTTAACACCTCGACAGGTGTGTAGATCACAAAGTGATCATCTTCATCATCTTCAAGAGAAGATCTTCCTCTTCTACCAAACCGTTATTTTAACACCTCGACACGTGTTTCGATCACCAAGTGATCATCTTCTTCAAGAGGAAGATCTTCCTGAAGAGGTGTTGGGAAAAAACTCCAGTTATACTCATTACTATACTAAAGGTTGCAAAAAGTGCATCATATAAGTGAATTGAAATACATTATCAGTCTATGACTGAATTTCACAAAAATATTACCTAGCGCTCGTTACACGTCGATGCATGCTTATGAGTGTCGTATACTTATATCATCACATAAGAACATCAAAGAACAAACCTGAATTAAGTGGTAGAACAAACCTGTAGTGTTCTACACTGTAGTTTTGAACTTCGCCTCTTGTATGTTATACTCTATTTCACCCAATTAAAAACCATTATTATTATTATTATTTTTTCACCGTAGTGTTCGCTGGTCAGGCCCTATCCCCCGAAGCCTCGATATATTCAGGAGGGCGCGCCAGCATTATCAACCAATGACCATTCCCCACACCGTGGGGTAAGTGATCATTGGGTTCGAAAATCATGTGCCCTGAGCAAGCGCAGTGAGCCAAGAATGACAGCCTCCTGCATCTGTACGGCTAAGATTTCTGCCTTAGTGCGGCACGCCGATATGATTTTAAGATTCGAGAGTAGAGAGGACATCATTCCACCAA